GGTAATGGATGAGTCAAGTACGATACTAGGTAATGGACGAGTCAAGTATGATACTAGGTAATGGATGAGTCAAGTATGATACTAGGTAATGGAGGAGTCAAGTATGATACTAGGTAATGGAGGAGTCAAGTATGATACTAGGTAATGGATGAGTCAAGTATGATACTAGGTAATGGAGGAGTCAAGTATGATACTAGGTAATGGAGGAGTCAAGTATGATACTAGGTAATGGATGAGTCAAGTATGATACTAGTAATGGATGAGTCAAGTATGATACTAGGTAATGGTAGAGTCAAGTATGATACTAGGTAATGGTAGAGTCAAGTAATAATAATAATCTTTATTGAAACCGTATCCCAGAGTGGGATCTTAGTTGAAAATACAATAAAGTAACACACAAAAAAAAGATAATCACAGACATTTGAATGTAAAGAAAAAAGAAAAAAATTTAAATCATGTGGTGGTTTGTTGAGGCATCTGGCATTTTAGGATTGTTTCTTGTCGTAATTTGAACAAGTGTGGATGAATTTTCCTAGCTCAATGATTTTTTTATTATTTGTACTTTTTAGTATATCTGTAAGGTGTTTATCATGCGTCCTCAAGTTGCTTTTATTGTATTTAATATTCTTGATCATGATTTCTTGTTCCTCCTTGAATAGATTACAATTGAGAAGAAAATGTTTTTCATTCTCAATTTCCTGTTTGTCACAAACTGGGCAAATTCGGTCCTCAGCTAAAACGTTATTATATCTGCCCTTTTCGATTTGAAGGGTATGAGCACTTATGCCGAGTTTTGTCATAGCAGCTCTATGATTTGGATTTTTTATTGTGGTGAGATATTTTTCATATGCAAATTTTGTTTTAATTTTCCTATAGGTTCGTAACTTGTTTTTGTGGTTTTTACCTTTATTGTCATCGTGTAATGTTTCTGTGCTATGTATTTTAAAGGCTTGTTCTAGTTCGAGTGATTCTAGAGATTTATGGTTTTCCCAAATATTTCCCAGATTTAAATTTTCTAAAATTTGTTTTATGTCTGTTACCCAGTCGTCTTTTCCTTTTTCATCAAGATGTATTCATGCTTCATGCACTAGCGAATTTGGGTTATTTATTTTTATTTTCATCCAAAATTTGATCATATATTTTAAGCTCGTTGTTGGCAGTGGATATCTTCCCAACTATAGTAGGCTTGCCAAATTACTTGCTTTGCTATTTACTTTTAGAAGGTATTTGCAGAAATGTATTTGTACTTTGATACAAAATAGTTACTGGTACTACCTTACCGGTAATGGATTATTCACGATTGAAACTGGATGGCATAGTTTTGGTGCACCCACTGAGAAGAGATTGACACTAACCAAGAACACATGCACCCAGTGTGATACCAAGGTTCAGACTGATGACAACCCTTGACCATGAACCCAGGTGATCTGGTCAGTGACCTTGATTCAAAAGGAAATTACAATTCTGACCAAATAGTGAATTACAAATCTTATAAAGTTGGGAATTACAATGAAATATTAAGCCCAAGGTTTACCAAATAGATTATGACAAAGTACTGTTTCTCCAATACCAATCACCCTCTATGGCAACCTTGTAAGTGAATGCACACCATCTAACTGCATACAAATTACAAGTTACACTAAGGTATGGTAGAGTAATGTAATGATAGAGTCAAGTATGATACTATGTAATGGTAGAGTCAAGTAAAATACTATATAACGGTAAAGTCAAGTAAGATACTATAAAATAGTAGAGTCAAGTAAGATACTAAGTAATGGTAGAGACAAGTAAAATACTAAGTAATGGTAGAGTCAAGTAATATACTAAGTAATCAATGGTGGAGACAAGTAAGATACTATATAATGGTAGAGACAAGTAAGATTCTATAAAATAGTAGTCAAGTAAGATACTAAGTAATGGTAGAGACAAGTAAAATACTAAGTAATCAATGGTGGAGTCAAGTAAGATACTATATAATGGTAGAGACAAGTAAGATACTATATAATGGTAAAGTCAAATAAAATACTAAGTAATGGCAGAGTCAAGTAAAATACTAAGTAAAGGTAAAGTCAAGTAAAATACTAAGTAATGGCAGAGTCAAGTAAGATACTAAGTAATGGTAGTCAAGTAAGATACTAAGTAATGGTAAAGTCAAGTAAAATACTAAGTAATGGCAAAGTCAAGTAAAATACTAAGTAATGGTAAAGTCAAGTAAAATACTAAGTAATGGCAGAGTCAAGTAAAATACTAAGTAATGGTAGAGTCAAGTAAGATACTAAGCAATGGTGAAGTCAAGTAAGATACTAAACAATGGTGAAGTCAAGTAAGATACTAGGTAATGGACGAGTCAAGTATGATACTAGGTAATGGACGTGCCAAGTACGATACTAGGTAATGGATGAGTCAAGTAAAATACTAAACAATGTTGAAGTCAAGTAAGATACTAAGTAATGGTGAAGTCAAGTAAGATACTAAGTAATGGTAGTCAAGTAAGATACTAAGTAATGGTAGTCAAGTAAGATACTAAGTAATGGTCAAGAAATGCACATGTATCTGGTATTGACTGAATAATTGTTAGAATACTTACCATGATCTAAGATCTCATCTTTAGGGTCCCTGCGAAAAAGAATATAACACGTAACTACAAATATGTAATCTAGATGTGCCTGTGGTGATACAATTCCATTTATTGAACAAAACTGATACAGTGATTTTGTCAACAGCTTTCAGTAATAATTTGAATTATGTACAAATATCCAGGGCTTTATATTACCAAACACACTCAAACTTCCACCTCACAGACACAAAGATTCAAACTTCCACCTTTCAGACCCAAACATTCAATTATTCACCTTACAAACCAAAACATTACAACTTCCACCTTACAAACCAAAACATTCAAACATCCACCTCATAGACCAAACATTACAATTCCACCTTTCAGACCCAAACATTCAATTATTCACCTTACAAACCCAAACATTACAACTTTCATCTTACAAACCAAAACATTCAAACTTCAACCTCATAGACCAAACATTACAACTTCAACCTTTCAAACCCAAACATTCAATCTTTCACTTCACAGACCCAAACATTCAAACTACCACCTCACAGACCAAACATTACAACTTCCACCTTACAAACTCAAACATTCAAACTTCCACCTTACAAACCCAAACATTCAAATTTCCACCTCATAGACCAAACATTACAAAATTCCACCTTTCAGACCCAAACATTCAATTATTCACCTTACAAACCCAAACATTTTAACTTTCACCTTACAAACCAAAACATTCAAACTTCAACCTCATAGACCAAACATTACAAATTCAACCTTTCAAACCCAAACATTCAAACTTCAACCTCATAGACCAAACATTACAACTTCCACCTTACAAACTCAAACATTCAAACTTTCACCACACATCCCCAAA